TTGCTTGGAAACTTCCCCGCAGTAAAGCCTCGCCGCGCGCCGTTCCTCGACCAGCGATACGCAGTTCCACGCCGCAGGTGACCGGAGACCTGGACACGCACTCGGACAACGGGTGGCTGACACCGGGCCCGCAGCCCAGCCCCCCCACTCCCTCACCTTATAGACGGCCACGCAGGCTGAAGTGCAGCCCAGGTGAACTCCGATGGCCGCCATGAGGCGGCAGAGAAGGCGGCAGCAGCAGAGCGGTCCCCCGCCGACTACAGGTCTCCGGCTCCCGATAGCCCCATCAGGCACCGCGGAGACTCCACGTTCCTGCCCGCCCACTGCGTCGGTCCGAACGCCGCGGCCTCCCGCGTTGTTGCCAATCAGCGTGAAGGTCCCGCCTCTCGCACGGCAGTCGACGAATAGCTTTCCTGCGTCTCTACCTGCCCCGCAGAAGCCGCACGGCGTGTGCTGTAGTGCGCACGCGCAAATCAGGTTTTTTCTATAAAAAGGAAAGGGCTCCTTCGCGCGGGGTGTTTTGCCCCTTTGCTGAGAGCCAATGGCAGCTTGGGCTAGTGTGGGTTGAGTGAGTTGCGTCATTAGTCCCAGCAACTCCGGGCTCGCTGCGCTCCCCAGCTTCCGGCGCAGCCTCACGCCTGCGTCGCGGCCCGCGGTCGGTGCTGCTGGCCTGGGCGTCTGGAGCTGCAGGCTCGGCATGTGGTGCGCGAGCCCAGCCGTCTGGCTGGCCTTTTGCGCCGGGCTCTGGGTCTCTAACCCGGCGCCGGGGCTGGGCCAGGAGGCCGGGGGTCGCCCGGGGGCCGACTGTGAAGGTGAGCGGTGTGAGACCTGCTTGCATGGCGGTGGCACCGCGCTGCACCGGCCCGTTGTTGGCTTTGGCTTCTTTGGGCCGTGGCTGTAAATAATCTTTCACTCCGAAAACGCGGGCCCCGTCTCGTTTCCGAGCCCCTGCGCCCGTGCCCAGGCAAAAGTGAGAGCCGGGCTCGGCACCGTCTGACAGACTGCGTGGTCTAGGCTGGTGGGCTTGGATCTGGGTTCGATTTTGTGCGGCTGGATTCAGACGACCAAGGTGCCGAACTGATTCAGCTGCTCCTAACCGGCGACATTTGCTTCTCCTTGCGCAGGCCATGTCTTTTAAGTTCAAATTAGTTTGCAACTCCCCAGTGGAAAATAAAACACGACAGGTTGTAATTGAGTTGAGGTGGCTTAACTAAGGGCTATGAGGACATAACGTTTGTTTTGTTATGACTACAGGGAAAAGTTGCTTTACAAAGGAATATATTAACTTCTTAGAGGAGAAACACAGAAGAACGATTTCTTTTCCGTTCATGGAATCTCAGCTGCAGACTTAAAGTCAGAACACGTGCCCCCTGGCTCTGTGGTGGACTTAACCTGGTTCTGGCAGAAATCATTGTGATAATACCTCCTTCAGAGGGCCAAGATAAAAGCTACACTAGTTTATTTCTCCTGCAATACCTCCACGATCCATTCATTGAAATAGTTTAAATGTATATCCTCACCCTTCTGTTAGCTTGCAATCTATAATTACGTAACAGGAAATTGTAAATACACAGTATATGTTGAATGAATGGGTACACATAGTCTATATTACAACTAAATAAGGCCTCAGAATTGAAGCCAAATTTTCTGTTAGCCCTGCAATAATTAAACTTTTCTCCAGAAATTAAAAATGTCTGCACGGTGTACTTTTTAAAAATTTTATGTAGCTACTTATTTAGCTTAAGTTATAAATTTGTCCTACACATTTAATGCAGAATTTGTGAGGCATAAACAATTGATTAGTCATCAGTAATTTATTTTCTGGAGCTTCTACCTAAAAACATTTTAGAAGAGCCAGCGCATCTGGATTAATTAAATGTGAAGCTTATGCCATCTTTCCTGAATTTACTATAGCATATTGTGATTATTAACTTGCATGTCTAACCTGGGTGTGTATTTCCTTTTTTAGATAAAGAAGTTACAGAATTACAGCAAAGGAAGTACTAGTTTTAAAATTAAGAAATAGATTGTAGATCTGGCTCTCTTACGGCATATGAGTATTACTAACCATTTAAATCTCCCTCAAGGTATAAGATTAAAATGCTATATGCATACTATAAGGCAAAGGTAAAATACCGATCAGTCCATGAGCCACCTGGACCTATTGAAATGTTAAGTTCGCAAAACGTTTTAAAAAACATTTAAATCAATTGGTTACTTTTTCAATTGTAAGACTTCATATTTAAAAATTCAGATTTCTGCCTTTTCTTAAAATTCAGGTGACCTGTTAAGACTAGCCCATATGTCCAAGTAGTAGGAATTGGCTGTGGCTGCTCTTTTTAAAAAGGACATGTGTTCTCCAGGTTTTGTTTCTGTCTTTCCTACTCGGATTTCTTTCACCCATTCATTTTACTTGCGTGAACCCTGAGATTATTTAAGTTTCTGACCCCTGCACTAGTTAGGTCATTTGAGGCTTACTGGAAAAATGTAAAAATTTTCAGATCTTATTAAACACATCATATTATGGTACAGCCATGGTAAAAAAAAAAAGAAAAAAAAAGAAATAAAAAAGCATTGTATTATGAGACTTAAAAAAAAAACTTTTATTTTGAAATAATTATAGATTTGTTTATGGGACTATTTTAATAAAAAAAGAGCCCACAACAAATAAAATAGTATGGTTATCTGGTTGTAGCAATAAATACATGCCAGAAACTTAAGTTATTAATTTGTTAGGCAATTTATGGTGAGATAAGCCCAAGGAGTAAACTTTCATTCTTATCTTAACTTCTCTGTGGCATGGGACACCACTGACTTCTTTCTCTTTCAGAAACTTCCTTCTCTTGATGGCGTTGATACTGTATGCTTTTTTCTTACCTTTGCTTCTGTCTCTGTGCCCACTTGTTCATGGTATCTTTCTGATTCTCTAGCCAGGTCTTCAGTATCAGAATTTTCCGGAGTTCTGTCTTTGGCCCTCCTCTCCTCTCATTCTACACACTCTTCTATACAATCGGAATCCACCTAACTATAGTCTGATTAATCCCAAATATTTATATCTAATCCTACTCCTTTTGAGAGTCCCAGAACTTGCATCCAATTGACTACTGGATATCCCCACTTAGATATCTTATATCTCAAACTCAACAGAGTCACAAACCAAAGTCATCATCTCCTCCCTTCTTAGTCTCCAAAACCTGTTATGCTTATGGTGACAGTATCTACCTGGTAAACTAGACTGGACTTTTCTTCCTCCCTGATCCCCTATGTCCATCAGTCACTATGTCTGTTTATTCTACCTTCTGGTTGTCTCCTTTCTCCTTCCCCAGCTCCATTGCCTTGTTAAAGATATTCACCATTTTTATCTTCCTTCTGCCACAGCAGCATCCTTCTTGCCACCTTTCTTCCTCTACTCTAGTCTACAGCAGTGTTACCATGCTACTCCCTTATTTAATATCTTTTAGTGGTCTCCCACTTTCCCCCAGGTCTGTGCTTCTATATTTTCCCCACAGTATCTAGTATAGTTCTCCTAGTGTTCAGTAATTGTTCTGAACAAAGGTATGCATATATGTTGTCATTAATCCACAGTGGGATCCAGTTAAAGGAGTCTTGAAGTTGACTTTTGCCTTGAGAGCATTTGCTGCACAGCAATCTGAACTTAGGTTTTCATGGCTTTGAGTACATTGAAGAGAATAAAAGACAAAGTGAGAACTCTCCCAAGTTAGAAGTGTAATACTAGGTTCTTCCCCTTCCCCCTCCCTAATTAATTTGGAACTCCAAAGAACTAGACCTTCATTATAAAAGGTAAGGGTGTGTGTGTGTGTGTGTGTGTGTGTGTGTGTGTGTGTAAGAACAACTCTACTACCATCTTCAAACTAAAAAGGAATTGTATTACTTGAATTTTTAAGGATTAACAGGGGAAACAAAAATATCTCCAGATAATTAATAATCACAAGCTAATCCACATATAGGCTGAAGCCCAAATTCATATAATATGGATGGTTCAAAATATTGCAAATTGATCATTTAATGTAAAGGGATTCCAAGCAAACATCAACAAATGCCAGTCTTACCTATAGGAATCCACCTTCCACCTAGTCCTCAAAGAATTCCCACAGCTGAAGTTCCAAGAAATAAAGCTTATATTCAGAAAAATGACAAACCCATGGAGAAGAAAAGCACCATAAGTGATAGCCAGTTGAGACAAGAGACAGAAGAAGCACACCAGAAAAGGCTTCGGGTATTGGAATTACTAGGGATCTATAATAATAAAAGCGTAATGTGCTAGTGATACTGGACAGCTGAATGACCTTCTGGACGAAGCCAGGGCTGTGAGGGCTGAGCCCCTTGCATGAATTTCGTGCTTCGGGCCTCTAGTAGAATATAAAAGGTATATCATGTTTAAAGAAACAAAGGAAGGGATTGAAGATATAAATAAAAGCAGGAGGCAATTAATAAAAGTCCAACCATATTTGGAAGAAAAAAACTACAAATAGAAATTAATGGGGTTAACAGTAGATTAGACAGCTGAGAAAAGAATTAGTGAGTTAGAAGACTGAAGTAATTAAGAAGGAATCTTTGAGATTTAAGAAAATTTATGAAAGGAAGATGAAGGTACAATGAGGATACAAAAGAATTCCAACATAGGTTAACTGGACTTCCAGGAGAAGAAGAGGATAGCTCAATTTTCCAAATTCATGAATGTCATCAATCCACAGATTGGAAAGTCCAATATGCTCCAAACCAAAGAAATAAAATTATATGACTAGTATCTATACTAATAAAAGGGTAATATGCTAATTAGGCCAGATATTTTCTGGACAAAGCCACAGTGGCGGGGTCCGAGGCAGAGGCGGTTAGGGGCAATCAGGCCAGCAGGGGAGGGTAGTTAGGAGCAATCAGGCTGGTGGGGGGGGCAGTTGGGGGTGATCAGGTCAGCAGGGGGGGCCATTGGGTGATTAGACCAGCGGGGGAAGGGGGGCAGTTAGGGAGGGAGGGGGGGCAGTTAGGGAGCAATCAGGCTGGTGGCAGGGAGCAGTTAGGGGTGATCAGGCCAGCAGGCAGAGGCAGTTTAGGGGTGATCAGGCCTGCGGGATCGGACCTAAACCTGTAGTCAGACATCTCCTGAGGTGTCCCAGATTGGAGAAGGTTCAGGCCAAGCTGAGGGCCTCCCCCCACCCCCGTGCATGAATTTCATGCACTAGGCCTCTAATCATATAATAAAGGAATTGGAAAAAAAAAGAAAAGAAAATCTTAACCACAGTTAGAGAAAAAAGACTGATGACCTTCAAAAGAATAGCGATTAGATTGACAGATGAATTAGCAATGCTTTAAAGGTCCAAGGTCCCACAGGTAGTAGGTAGTAAAGCCAGAATTTGGACTCAGGGAGGCTGACATCAGAGCCTGAGCACCAAAAGTTTGCAGGTTCAATTCCCAGTCAGGTTGTGTATAGAAGACAACTATTGATGTTTCTCTCTTGGATTTTTTCTCTTTCTTCCTCTCTCTAAAATCAATAAGCATATCCTCGGGTGAGTATGAAAAAAATCATGCTGGTTAGAATTCAGAATGTGGGTCAGTTTAAAGCAATCCTCTGGCTAGGTGGTACTACAAATGCTGGTGAAAAAAATAAAAATATCATAAAAGAACCAAAGAGCTGGCAAGATAGACTGAATAGAACAAAGTGGAAAGGAAAGCAGCAATTCTGAGAGATAAATTGAGCTTACAGTCATTTTGCCTTGAGGACATTGGCCAGTCAGTGTAAAGGTGACCTTTGGTGTGAGGGATAAAGAAGACCTGTTTTAAGTGGCAAATCTAT